TTTTTGTTTTCTTTTTGTCTGTTTTCTTTTGTAACATAACTAATATGGAAATATGTTTTGCATGACTTCACATGTATAATCGATATCAAATTGCTTGCCTTCTCAGAGAGATGACTGGGAGGAAGGAGAGAATATGGAATTCAAAATTTTAGAAGATAACTGTTATTTTTTTACCTGTGATTGGTTAAATCTTTAAAGAAATTTTAAAAAATCTTAAAAAATTATCTTGTGCCCCATTGGCTCTTCATGGTCAATGTGACACTAATGCTAGTGAAGGGAGGGAGGTATTTTATTCCCTCCTCAGTGAACATCCTGCATTTTAACAGAAGCATTATAGCGGCTTATCATGATAGGAAAAGTAGATGTCTTGAGGAAAGCTCTTACCTAGGATTTGGGAGAACCATAATCTAATCTTGGTTTTGAAAGTATTTCACCCTGTGGCTTTGGCCAAGTAATTTCACCCATCTAGACCCAAGTTTCCTCACAAAATGAAGGGATTGAAAATTCTATTCTCTAAAGTCTTTTCTGGCTCTAAGAGTTCTTAAAATCTACGGAATTTCAGGAATTCTATCTGACAGGAGAAATATTTTGAGACAAGCTGGCCTTTTGCCAGCTCTTGGAATCCTGCTATGTGGGTGACCCTATGACCACTTATGTCTAGGACTGGCCCTGTGTCCATCAATGTGAAGATCCTTAAGTCTAGATGACTAATGAACCCCATACTCAAAAAAAAAAAAAAGTGAGATGTTATGCTTCCGTAGCTTCATCCTGGAAACATCATTTCTGCCAAGTGGCTAAAGAAGACAAAGATTAGAGGAAGATGAAATCTCTCTTTCAAAAATATAAATTTATGCTTCTAAGACCATGATAATGTATCCTCTTTGGAAGCTTATGGATCATGTAGAGGAGAAAGCTTCTAGATACAAAGAGGGTGATCATTTGTTGTACCATTCTAACAATGTAGAAGACCAATCTATCAACCTGCCTATAATTATACCAAGGGAGTGGGTGGGTTCAAAAGAACTCATACCCTTAGGATCCAGTGGCTAGGACATTGATGCCCAGTTGTGGAGTGTTCCTGATAATATCCTTCTACATTATAATCTCTTGATGGTCATGTTTCAAATTTCAAAAAGAAAGAATAAAATGTCATATTCAACACTTCTCAGAGGACACTGCTAAAAATAAGTCATGGCTATTTGTCCAGTCACTTTATCAGCACTTCCGAACAGATATTTAATCTATGTCTCTGAAAAATGGCCTTCAAATAGCCATTGTATATCAATGGTGAACTAATAACAGCTCACACTTACATAGTGCTTTTAAGATTGTCAGATGCTTTCTTCACTGCTCTGTGAAGCAGGCTGTACAATTACCATTATCTCCATCACAGTTCGGGGATTGAAATGCATAGTGATTTGCCCGTGGTCAGACATAGATAGCAAGTAAATATAAGAGCTGGGATGAAAACCCAGTCCTCCTGCTTCCCGACCAAAGGGTCATTCTACCACCTCACACTGCCTTGCTGAGAAATTTTCTCTCCTTCTCTTGCAACATAATTAAACATCATATCTACCCCTAACAGAGTTTCTTTCTAGACTGTATATCCCAATAGCAACAATGCTCTTTTGCTCCTACAGTGGGGATCCATTAACTTCTCTGTTCTATGCCAAAATCTTCTGGACATTGTAATTTATCACTATTGTACAATTTCCACGCATGTGAGTGTAGTTAATGAACCTCTTTCTGTATCTACCTGTCATGGGTTAAGCAGAGGTGATAAAGGTGATTTCACTGAACAACAATAACTACATGTGAAATATGTGGCACACAGAAAGAGAACTGACTTTAGAGAATCTGGATTCAAATTCCACCACAAATACTTGTTACCTGAGTCAACAGGCGAAGTCACTTAACCACTCTGGCCTTCAGCTTCCTCATCTGTAAAATAAGGGGCTTGGATTAAATGCCCTTTAAGTTCCCTCCTAGTTCCACATCTATGATCCTTTGATTTACTGCATGCAGAGCCCTGTGCTGATTTTTTAAGGAGAGTAAAGATTTCACAGGATCCAGGCCCTCACAGAGCTTACACACTAGTCAAGTGATAAACATTAACACAGATAATTTAGAGTATGAAAGAATGATATGATTAGCACATCAGAGAGGCACAAGCAGAGTGTCCAAGAGAGAAATGATCATAACCAATGAAAGAGAAGTCAATGAGACTTTTCGGAGAAAGTGGTATTTAAATTGTGCTTTAAAAGACACAAAAGAACTCAGCATGTAAGAAAGAGGCAAGAGTAAATACCAAGGTGGAGAATAACATGGGCAAAGCCAGGGAATCAGGAAAGTGTGAGGTGTGTGCAGTGAATGAGAAGTAGCTTAGTTTACTCAGAACATGGGGTACCTAGAGGTATAGAATAAAATAAAGATAGTGAGATAAAGGGTGCCACCAGATTGAGGAAGTCTTTGCATGCCAAACTAAGAAGTTTGAGTTCACTCAGGAACCAACAGGCACTTATTGCAAAGTTTTGAAAGAAACAGTAACAAAAGTGGGTTTAGGTGTTTCAAAAAAATTAATAAGCCCAGCTAGAGGAGGGATTTAAAGAAGGACAGAGAAGAGGCAGGGGGATTTACAAAATGCTTATCATTAGAATTTAAAAACTACACAATGTACTCCAATCCCCCCCCCCTTTTTCCATGGACTGTTATTTGGCTTTTAAATACATCTGGAAAAAAATAGAGATTATTTCCCCTGGGAATCAATGGAATGTTTCCACAGCATCTCTGCTGAAAGGAAGAACAATATCTTGCATTGCCCAGTAAAGGTTCCCAGCTTTCCAGACCCTGAAAGTTTGTTTATAGAGGCTGTCTCTCTGATACCTTTCCTGACTGTAATAACCTGGTGTTTCACTTCTCAAAGAAAAAAAAATCAGGAGTTTGTTTCCTTGGGTTGGGGAATTATAACATACTGTAAAAGATTTTGTTTTGAAAGCAATGGTTGTACAGTCCCTGGCCACATATGCAACTCAGGTATTGAATGTACATAGGTTGTACAAGTAGAGTTCTTTAGTGGCTTCAAAAATACTAGCACTGAATGTGCTATGACTTCAGCATTTAAATTTTCAATGAAATATCCAACTGTAATTCCAGAACATTGATAATTAAGCACTTTACCTAGCCCCTGATACAGAAGTGCTACACTCAGAATAAAGGCTCTCTCTCTCTCTCTCTCACATACACACACACACACACACACACGTGTGTGTGTATGTGTGTGTATTCATATGTGTGTGTGTGTGTGTGTGTGTGTGTGTGTGTAACATAGTGTGGGAATTTGTTTTGCTAGAATATGCATGTTTGTTACAAGAGGTTTTTTTTTTCTTTTTCATTGTGGTTGAAGAAAGGAGAGAAAATAGTTTTATTAAATTTAATAAAAAATTTTATCAGGTTCTTAATGAGAGGCAATTTGGCACAGTGGTCTTGAGGTCAGCAAAAACCTGTGTCTGACACTTACTAGTTGTGAGACTTATGGATGAATCTTTTACCCTCTCTTTGCAAGGCTTATGACTTTGCACAGCTTGGCCTCACTCAAATAAAATCTGCATGCAATCAAGACTTCACCCTCATGATGTCATTGGTCCTCTATGAGAATGAAGGATGAATAACAACTACCCACTTTGCAACATTGTTGTGAGAAAAGTGCTTTGCCAATTCTGAAGAGCCATCTGAACGTGAGCCATTATCACAACTTTTTCTGAGGGCAGCAAGTTTTACTTAAAAGAAAAAGAAAATCAAATATGACAGAGATTCTTATACATTTTATTCACCCATGAATAGGAGGAAGAAAGAAGAAATTAAGTTACAGAAATATTTTCTTTAATTCCTCTGAGTTGGAATTATTATGCAGATGCCCTGATTGTTACATCAACCAAACTCCTTGTTTAAGTTACATATATGTTAAAAAAAAATAAAAACAGAAAACCTGCTTAATCTGTCATCCAAGAGTTTGTTTTTGTGGTTTGCTCCACTATATTGCTTATCATCTGTTTCATTTTCACATGGAGGAAACTGAGTGCCTGGCGCTTATGACAGTGGAGTGAAATCTTGGGCAGGCAAGCCAAAACCGGAAAAGCTCCTATGACTTGTCTGCCTATACTGTCAGATTGTCTGGCCATGTCCTGAGAGGGCCATCATCAAAAAGTTAGCCACCAGAGGCTGAATTACTTTTGGCCATGGTAGCCCATGACATATCTTTTATTAATGATTGACACCATGATGATCTGTAATACATGAGGTAATCTCCATAGCAAGAAAATTGGGCATTTTTTTTAAATCTGGGGGGGAAATCCCTCATTATTTCAGACCCCTAAGCACTAAGTGAAAGGATTGTAAGAAAACGACTTGATAAGTTTGAGTTGCCAGATCCAGATGAACTAAGTGCCAAGGTACTGAGAGAAATGGAAAGTTTGATTCCTGAGCTATGGTCAGTGATCCTTCCAAAAGTGCATAGAACAGCAGGGTTGCCTCAGGAATGGAAAGGAACAAATGTCCCAATTTTCAAAAGAAAGAGTGAATTCGACAAACAACGTGGCAGTGAGCTTGATTTCAATTCCTGGCACCATTCTAGAATGAATTTTGAAAGAGATTTTTTGTAAAATTTAGAAAGGGAAGTGGTAATCATGGAGAGCTATCTTGGCTTGTACTTCTCCCTAATTGATCCCCTATGCCAGTTACCACAAAGTCTACTCTAGACTTTCTCCTCTCTTCTTAAGTTTTTCCCACCTTTTCACAGAACACCAAAGTTATTCAAGTGCAAACTTACATATTCCTCCTCCTCATCTTACAACCTTTTAACATTAGACTCTCTTAACTCCTTTAATTTAATCTCTGATGTAGATGCCATAATGGTCTTTCTCCTAAAATTCCCCATATATATAATACATATCTTGATCTCACCTCTCCTGTCTTCTCCAGCAAGATTGCCTCCACTGCTGCCTCCTCTCTCTCTAATCCTCAGTCTCTGTATATTTATTGTCTCCTTCTCTGCTTCGTGTCCTCTATCCTAAAAGAAAAGAAAAAGCCTCAGGGACAGCTAGGTGGTGCAAGGGATAGAGCACTGGCCCTGAAGTCAGGAGGATCTGAGTTCAAATCTGGCCTCAGACCAAATACTTGACCCTTACTAGCTGTGTGACCCTGGGCAAGTCACTTAGAGCCCACTATTTCCCTTATTTTCCTGTAACTCTCCTCTCTCTCTCAGCAAAATTTTCTAAGAATGTCATACACTTCCTCACCTCTAACTCCTTCTTTAATCCTCTATAATTGTGTTCCTGGCTATATCTTTCAACGGAAGCTTCTTTCTCTAAAGCCTCTCATCAATGATTTACTAACTGTCAGATCTAATTATCTTGCATCAAGCTTCATCCTTCTTGACCTATGTGCATCACATGACATCAATCACTCCCTCTTCTTGGACATTCTGGCTTTACTATGTAGAGTACTGGACCTGGAGTCAGGAACATTTGAGTTCAAATTTGGCCTTATACATTTGCTAAAAGTATGACCTGGACAAGTCACTTAACTTCTGTCTCCCTCAGTTTCCTCATCTGTAAAGTGGAGATAATAATAGCATCCAACTTCCCTGGGTTGTTGTGAATATAAAATGAAATAACATTTATACAACTTAGAAAGGGAAGTGGTAAGCATGGAGAGCTATCTTGGCTTGTACTTCTCCCTAACTGATCTTCTATGCCAGTGAGACTTTAAAATATTTCTATAAAAGTAAAAAAAATAGGAGTAGTAGGAGTAGTAGGAGTAGTAGGAGTAGTAGTAGTAGTAGTAGTAGTAGTAGTAATAGTAAAAGTAGTATCTAGATTTTCACGACACCAGTCCCTCTTGGTTCTCCTCCCACCAGATTACTGTTTCAGTCTTCTTTGTTGGCTTTTCATCCACTCCCATTCACAACATCCTCAACTGTAAGTGTACTCCAGGACTGTTCCAGGCTTTCTTCTTTGTTATTTTTCTACCTTATTTGACATGAAGCTCTCCTCAGCTTCCATGGGTTTAATTATCTTTCTTCAGATAGCTTCTAAGTCTTTATTTCCAGACTTAATATCTTTCTTGAGCTCCAATCCTTATCATAAATTCCCTATTATGCATCTCAAACTGGATGTCCTACAAATACCTGGAACTCAACATACCTAAAAGATAACTTTTTTTATCTTTTCCCCTAATTGAACCTTTCTTTTAAACTTCCTTATTTCTATTCAGTGCAACATCATCATTCCATTAGCAACATTAGAATTATCCTTGACTCTTAACTCTTATTAAGCCTACATAGCCAAATAAATTGCCTGATGTCATCAGTTTTTATTCTCTAGAGTATTTCTCATACATACGCTGTTTTCTATGCTTACTCACCACCATGCTCTGATCACCTCCTACCTGGACTTTCCATCTTTAAAGTTTCTCTCTACTCCCAACCACCCTCCACACAACTGTCAAATTTCTTTTTCCAAAGGAGAACTCTGACCATGGCTCCCCCTATTCAATACATTCTAGCAAATCCCTCTTTACAACTTGGATGCTTCTAATGACCAGCAGCTAAGTGATGCAGCATCTAGAGTGTTAGATCCAGAGTCAAGAATACCTGAATTTAAATTCAGTCTCAGACACTCACTATCTGTGAGACCTTAGACTCAACCCTCTGTCTGCCTCAGTTTTCAATACTATAAAATGGAGATAATAATAGCACCAACCTCCCAGGGTTATTATACAGATCAAATGAGATAATAAATGCTTAATAAATGCTTGTTCCTCCTTCCATTCACAGTCTACATATGCATTAATTCCTTCCACACACTCTATGGTCCAGATATGCCGACATACTTTCTTTACATACCATATTCCATCTCTCCCCGGTAATCTACTTCACTGACTATTCCTCACATCTGAAATGCTATCTCTCCACACTTAAGCCTCCCAGAATCCTGGGTTTCTTTCGAGGTTAAGGATCAAGAGACACCTACTGGGGAAGCCTTTGCTCCTCCCACCAGATCATCATAAATTCTTCCAATGATTACCTTGCATTTGAGTTGCATTCGTCATGTGTGTACATATAAATACATTGTCTCCACCCATTAGAATCTAATGGAGGGAAGGGACTATTTTGTTTTTGTCTTTGCATGCCCAGAACGTAGCATAGTATCTGACATATAGTGATTTATATGTACTTGATTGATTGTTTAAGAGTAGGTCACACCAGGCTAGTTTCATTTGCTTTTTTGATAGGGTTACTAGATTGTTAAGTGAGAGGGAATACTATAGACATAACTCAGATATATTTTTTGCAAAAGCATTTGGGAAATATAATTCGAGTAGGAAAAAAAACATTAAATAAATATGAGCTAGTAGGACAATTGGGTTTCAGGAGGAGGGTAGAACTACTTGAATGGACAGACCCAAAGAATAATCAATAACAGCTTCGTAGTAACCTGGAGGAAGATTTGCCTTTGGTCACGTTTCTGTTCAATAGTTGTGTGTTTGTTTTTTCCAATAACTTATGTGAAGACCTGTTTGGCATTCTAGCAAGACTGGTAAATAAAACTAATTTGGAAAGGATAGCTAATATGTTAGATCACCTAGGATGCAAAAAAACCAACATATTTCTGCAGGTTAAGATGGCGGGTCAAATTAGATAATTATTTAAATACTCATCTCATAGGAGGGAGCTGCATGTTCAAAGAATGGGCTGTATGAGTATGACCCCTAAGGTGACTTCTAGCTCTTAGATTCTGGTTCTGTTTTAATCAAATCCATGAAATATTAACCTCATAAAAATATGAGATGGAAAATATGGAGTTTGAATAAGTGGAAAACACATTTATAATAAAAAGTTGACTGTGGGTTTCATGCTGCCTTGTGGCTAACTAGTCTCTGAAAATTCTTCAAGAATGAAGAACTAAATATTGCCAGTAAAAATCGACTTTGCACATATCCTTCTTCTTCCCTTTCCTTAAGCAAGCCCTCCTGACAAGGGATCATCTCTCTTTCACTCTCTCTGCTTGTCCTTTTCTCTTTTCTTGGTTAAGACAAGAGTCCTCCTCTACTGGCAGCATATTTTAATCTTTGACAAGATGGCAAATGTGGCTCTAGCTCTGAGATTGTGCCATTTTGCCAGCCTAAGGTGACAAGTCTAATAATATCCTCCTGTTTACAAAGAGTATTTCTCACAAGGACCTCAAAGCTCTTGACATGTACTCCCTTACTCATACTCACAATGTGTTCTTATTCGCATAGAATCTTTACCTAAAATGGATCTTGGAAATTGCTGGTGTCTACAGCTGTGGTTTATAGATAAAGACATTAAGGCCCAAACAATATAAGTGACTTGTCCAAGGTCTCACAGTGACTAAATGATAGAGACGAGACAAGAATTCCATTCTGAATCTCAGTCCAGTGTTCTTTTCTCCTCAGTGTCCCTATGGAAAAAAAGAATAGTGGTTAGATAACCATCCTTCATCAAAGAAAAAAAGTGACATGAGAAAGAGATGTGAGGAAAAGAAAAAAAAGCCTCAAGGAAATGTATGACAAAAAATTTTTTTTTTAAATTAGGAATTCTGAAACCTGACCTCTAATTCTTCTGAGACTCAGCAGTGCTATTAACTAGGATGAAGAGGATCAGAAGCATTTCTGTGTTGTTCCCTTTAACTAGGTTGCTTGCTGAAGCTGAGTGTATTGGTTGGGCTTAACAACCAAGCCTAACAATGGAATAGTGTATGAAATGATCTTGGTACTTGGAGATTGCTAAAAAGAATGTGACAAATTGATAAACACAAATGATAAGTCTTTTCATGGAAATATTACACAGCAATTTTCTTGGCAAAAGTATCACAATGCATATGCTTGGTATATATACCTTTTTTCTGCATTGTGTAGTGATCCTTCACTTGCTACCCTATTAGGACATGCTGAGGAGCCATGAGAGGTATTGGAGAGAGAGACAGGGAGAGGCAGAGAGACAGAGACAGACAGAGAGAGAAAGGACAGTCCTTAGGATACTTTTATGATCCAATTGTAGGAATATACCCATGATCATTTGTTTAGAAATTATTTAAATGAGTAATTATTGCTCATCAATTAGCATGAGCAGTCATGAACCTTAATATGGCATTACCTGATCTACTGAGGTATAGGAAAGTGGCATCACAGGCTGATGAAATAGCTATTTTGAAATATATGCATATGTGTATATAAAAAGATCATGTAGTAGAAAGAGACATGTCATGACAGGAAGTCTACAGGTCATATAACACATATGATCTAGGTATGTCACTTAACCTCTAAGTGCCTCCAGGCAATTAAGACTACAAGTTACAAAATGTGTACTAATTTGCATTGATAGAAGACTCACATATACATATATGTAGAACCAGATACATATATACTTAAATATATGTGTGTGTGTACACATTTATATATATACATGTATGTATGTATAAATACATGAAATATTTATACTATATAATATTATAGTATGTGTAATGTTTACTATATAGTAGATGTTTACATGTCTATAGTACTATATATGTAAAATATGTAAATGTATGTAAAATATGTCAAATATAGAGATATAGCTATAGCTAGCTATATGTATAGATATATCAGTATCAATATTGAATAGCTAGGTGGCACAGTAGGCCTAGAATCATGAAGATCTGAGTTCAAATCTGCCCTCAGATACTTATTAGCTGTGGGGCCCTGGATATGTCATTTAACTACTTTCTGCCTCAGTTTTCTCATCAGTAGAATGAGGATAATAATCATGCCTTCCTACCAGAGCTGATGTGAGGACACAATTTTGATAATGTTCATAAAGTCTTTTGCATCACAACCACCACCACTACCATCACCACCATGACTACTACTACTACTACTACTACTATTTCCACTGATCATTATAATAATAAATCAACATACATAATAGATGATCTTCTTGAGTTGCTAAGGTTAAAAAAAATAATCACTGTGTACCCAACTTAGTGACCTGTCTCTCTGAACTTAACTAGGTTGGTCTTGAACTAACACAAAGGGTTCATTTCTGAGCTCATATTCAAGGTCTTTCAAGCTCCTTAGAACTCCTGGAACTTGTGTTCATTGGGATTGATTTTTAGAACCCAAGGTGATCTCTGTATTATAAGACATCAGAAAAGCACTAGCACACAGACAAACATCTGCATATCAGAGCCAGAAGGGGCATGCAGCCTAACTCATCTCTGGAGCTTCAATCCATGAATTCCCTAGATGGCTGCTCTAATTTCCATTGGCAGGGAGCCCACAGTGGCATAGGCAGCCCATTCTACTTCTGGACAGCTCTAATTATTAAGATTTCCCCTATATTGAGCCAAAATCTGCCTCCCTTGCTTTTCTTTTATGCCATGCTGTGAAGACTTCACATGAAAGTGAATATGGAAGTGAGACAATCCTGATTGTCTTAATCGGGCTAGAGCAGTAAGTGAAGGGTCATTTGACTGCATAGGATAAAGCATAGGCTATATAGAGCACATCTGCTGTGGTCTTTTTCTGGGGAAGTAGCTGTGTAATATGCCTGTGGAGTGACTTATCACTTGTAAGGTCCTTATCTTTTTGTCACATTCCATTTAGAAACAGATCTGTGGAACTATGTGGATGCTGAGAAAATTTAAATTTCTTAACTGTGAGTCAACAAGTCAAATCAACAAGCATTTATTAAATCCCTACTGTGCTCCAGGTACTGTGCTAAGCACACAAAAGGACACAAAGAAAGCTAAACAAAACTAAATAAGATGAGCAGCTAGGCGGTGCAGTGGATAGAGCACTGGCCCTGGAGTCAGGAGGACCTGAGTTCAAATTCAGCCTCAGACCAGACACTTGACACTTACTAGTTGTGTGACCCTGGGCAAGTCATTTAACCCCAACTGCCTAAAAATTAAGAAAAATAAAGATAACCTAACTTAGAAATAACATGTAAACAACTATACAAACAAACAAAAATCTATATGTGCATATGTATACGCATATATACAAATAAACATAAATGTATATAGATGATGCATATGCATATATACATATATGTAGGTATGTATGCATATACACACATATATGATAAATAGGTAGCATAAAGGGGGATTAGGAAAAGCTTTGTGTAGTAATTAGAATTGTAGCTGAGACTTGGAAGAAGTGAGAGAAGCTAGGAGGTAGAGATAAGGAGGGAATTCAGAAGGGATACTTATTTTGAACCACAGTGTGAGGATTACAGAACCTCCTTCATGTACTTCAAATTATCTTGAGACATATGGAATCACTTCCCAGACATCTCCTTGCTATGCTGCCTATACTTGAAGCAGTGCCTCTGACACAGAACTCAGTAGCCCATCTTAGTACCCCAGGCTTCTGATTGAACCATGAAGTCACTGTTCCCACCCCCAAATCCTGAGCTTCTGACTGACACATAAAACCATTTCTCATTCATCCCGATAACACGATGACACTTACCTGCCCCTCTGATCCTGGTTGCCAATTCTAATTCTCAGAATAGTAATAAAACTAACACTATAATTTGTGGAAAGTATGTGTTAATATATTGTCATATGACTCCAACCACCATTCTCTGACTTCCTCTTCCAAAATATTCTTCCCTAGCCTTCTTTCACCTCTACAAGTGTTCTCTTCCTCTATTAGAATTTTGGCGTTTTGATGGCAAGAACTGTCTTGCTTGCTTGCATCACATGTACCAATGTTGCTTTCCCAACTAGAGTAGACGCCCTTCAAGGGCAGGAACCATTTCACGTGTCGTTTTATTCAGTCATTTTTCAGTCATATCTGACTCTTCATGACTCCCTTTGGGGTTTTCCTGCCAAAGATATTGGAGTGGTTTGCCCTTTCCTTCTCTAGCTCATTTTATAGATGAGAAAACTGAGGCAAACACATATACGTACATATGTGTGTGTATGCATATATGTATATATGTATACGTATATGTAATCCTCATTTACAAATTGAATCTAATTCAGATATCCTCTACTATGTGTCAGGTACTGGGTTACATGCAGGCTAAATAAAGATTAAAAAAAATGGATTAAGAAAACTGAGATTCGGAGAGATTAATTAACTTGCCCACAGCCCCTAGGTAGAAAGTGTCAGAGACAGGATTTAAACACAACCATTCCTAATTCTAAGTCCAATGTTCTTTCTCTTAAACTACACTTTCATTTATAACCATATAGCAATTAGATAAACTGATTTTATTACTACTTCCAGCTAATAGTCAAATCAACTAATCAGCTACATTAATTGAGTGCCTCTAAAATGCAAGGATCTTCATATAAAAATACAATAAAATGACCATAGAATCTAAGTTAGGATGGTCTCTCAGAGGTCAAGTCCAGTTCATGCTATACCATAGATTTGCTCTACAAAACAGAAAACTGTATTTCTAGACTCTGAAGCCAAAGCACATGGTTCAAATCTCACATCTGATGTATTTATTATCTATGTTACCTTGGGCAAGATGTTTAACATCCTCAGTCTTCAGTTTCATCACTTGCAAATTGAGGAGATTAGCCTTAGTGATACCGAGTCCCTTCTAGGCTCTGTATCTATGAACCTATGATTTTTAAATAATGATTTTGTTTTTGCTTAAAAACTTGTAGTCACGGAAAACTCACTACCTGTCAAAACAGACCATCCCACTTTGGAATATTTGCAATGATTAAGATGCATAAAAGTATGTATATACACTAGCATATTTCTTCATATATTTGTAAATGTCTTACAGATATTCAGACTGTTTATACCGTTTAACTTTCTGAAACACCTTGTTTTTCATAGTCAAGGTTTTTTGGAGTTGGAGGGGCTTATAGAGGGCTTCTTGAACTACCTGAATGAGAAATCTCCTCTAAAGCACATCTGAAGAATAGTCCTAAAGCTTCTCTTTGAAGACATCTGGTGATGGGGAACCTACTTCTTCCCAATGAAGTCTATTCCATTTTTCAATAATTATAAATACTACAACATGGCAGTAATGTGGAGAGTTTGAAAATAAGCAAATTTAGACTACTTAAGGTAACATAGATAATAAATATATCAAATGTGAGATTTGAACCATGTGCTTTGGCTTCAGAGTCTAGAAATACAGTTTTCTGTTTTGTAGAGCAAATCTATGGTATAGGCATGAACTGGACTTGACCTCTGAGAGACCATCCTAACTTAGATTCTATGATCATTTTATTGTATTTTTATATGAAGATCCTTGCATTTTAGAGGCACTCAATTAATGTAGCTGATTAGTTGATTTGACTATTAGCTGGAAGTAGTAATAAAATCAGTTTATCTAATTGCTATATGGTTATAAATTTAGACTACTTAAGACTAACTTGTCTTGATATTGTTTTTTTCCCTCACTAACATGAAACTTAAATTTACTTCTTCTCAAATTCTCCACATTGCTCTGCTATCTTGCCCTCTGAAGACAAACAAAAAAAGCCTTACACCTTTTCAGTCTTCATAGAACCATAAAATGTTTGAGCTGGAGAGGACCTTAGATACCATTTATTCTAATTTCCTTATTTTTTGAATGTGGAAACTGAGGACAGCCGTTGTTGAGAGTAATGATTTGCCCAAAATCAGAAGCTGAAACAAAGCTGGTGCTAAAACCTGTCTCCTAACTCCCGCACTAGTGCTCTTTGGGTCAACATCAAAATGAGAATGACAGTCAATGACTTGTATCATGCCAGATTCTATAGTACTAATTTAATGGATGATAGACATGGTATTTGAGTGGCAAAAGCATGTTTTTTCAGGAATGCCACTTCTTAAAGAATCTTAGGCTCTCAGAGCCTGACATCTCCACTTTACCATTAATGGACAAAAGGAGGGCTAGTAGTACATTTAATTCCTGTGTGTGTGCTCCTGACCCCAATACACACAGGGTCATCTACCATCTGCAAAACTATCCAAACCCTTCTGTGGGTCTTTCTAAACCAGTGGCAAAGCATAAGAAGGTGCCAGTTGCCATTTCAGGCAATGGAATTAACCTAATCTTCCCTCTACGTAGATATATATTCGGCAACAACTGCTTTTTATTTCCATCAAATGGGGTAAGGGCTGATAGTGTTGATGTAAGCAGCTCTGTTTCTTATTCATAGGCTCATAGAATCATGAGTATAGAGTGGGAGGACCATCTACTTCCACTCTTTCATCTTATAGATGAGGAAACTGAGGCACAGAGATGTTAATTGAATTAACTAGGGTCACACAGATAGAATCTGACACAGCGTTTGAAACTAGTTCTTCCCGATCCTAAGTTTAGTTCTTTCAAATTCCTTGATTTCCTGCCTCCTGATCCTTCAGAGAAAGGGAAAAGGGCAGTCTCACAGCATATCAAGGTCAGTTTCTCAGAGATAACAAAACATACAGGCCCAAACTGGGCCATGCTCACTCTTCTTTTTGTCTGACCTTTTAATAGGTTTCTTCTTGTTTGCTTTTCTCTTTCTAGAGTCCGCTAGACATTTTTTTTTTTACTTCAGCTTAAATTGCACTTGAAAACTCAAGTGAACCCAGGTTTGCTATTCCCTTAAAAGCTCTTCTTGGCTGAGGAGGCCCAGAACAATCCTACAGAAGTCCAGATCTCTGTCACTGCAAATTGAAACAGACTTTTAAGAAAGTGTGGAAGTGTCTGTGGAACTAAACTGAAAGTCAGCCTCCTTCAAGGAAGAGACTAAGGAGCTTTCAGCACACCAAGGAGCAGAGTGCTGGACTTTGATATGGCAAACTATCTTCCTGTGAGTTGTTACTTGGCAAAACTTCACTGACCTGTGAATAGTTTATGACTCCCTTTGAGACTTTAAGATAATTCTTTCATAGTTAACAAAAGCATTGGTGCAACCTATTCATCTCCCTTTTTGGAGTGGGATTAAAACAAAATGCATAGGTACTAAATGAGGATAAGCAGTAACATTTTTATAATGCGCAATCTAGGAATCTGGTCATCAGTCACCCTAATTAGATCATAGAATCCTTGAATTATAGGATAAAGGTAGAAGCAGGCTAAGGAAGGAAGCATAGTCAGTCAGTCATTTTAGTACCTACTATGTGCCAAGAACTGTACAAAAAGAAAAAGTAGGGGTAAGGGAGAAAAGGCACTTGGCATAAGGGAGTGATGGAGAAGTCCAGAGCAGTGAAGCTGATTGGGAAATGAAGAAATGGCTGGCCTAGGCTTCCTACCTTAAATGGGGGCTCCAGGAGGAGAGATCTCTGCCTTCCAATCAAAGCAAGGGAGGGCCACCTGAGTAGAGGGTACTAAAGAGGTGGGTGTTCCGAGAATGATATTATCTTACAAGATGAAGTGGTTCCTGGGGCATGCTAGAAGAGTCCAGAACAGTGCAACTGAGTGGAAAATAGGTGGTGGTGGGAAAACATCTGAAGTAAGAAGAACTATGTTCAAATCATAGCTTTTTAATCTACTACCTGTATGACCATGAACATATCTTTCACTTAATCTCTCTGGGCCTCACTTTCCTCATCTGTAAAATGATGAAGTTTGAACTAAATTGTTTCTTATATGCCTTCTGTCTCCAAATCTATAATCCAAGTTTTAATGAGATCATTTTAGAGCAAGATACAAAAGAGCACTGGTCTAAGAAAAGGTGAGAGAAAGAGTAAGTGGGCCACAATCTGAGGGGGTTTACAATGTGGGAGTCCATGCTAGATATTCCAGGCATTTCTATTACACTATTACGTGGATCTTGGATCCACGTAATTTTCCTAGTTGCCCTTGGACAGTTTTCTCACAGAGCCTCATATGCCTTTGGGCTCTCTTGCCATGCCATATACTCCAGGACTTACCTACATATCTTGGGGTTTACTGGCTGGATTTCTTTCTTAAAAACCATGCCTTAAACCCAAATTCACTCTGGCTGTCATTGATCGGCCAAAATCAGGTTGGCCAACGACTACTTTTTCTTGTTTGGGCCCTGATGGATCAGAGTGAATGTGAACAGTAATTGTTTCTCTTTTGTTCAGAAACCCTAAAAGTCTTTCCCTCTCAGTTTGAATTTTTGACTTTTTTTTTTAAATTAAAGGGGCCATCCCTTGACTCACTTCTTAAACAGGCCTAATCACTGAATGGGGGTTGCCTCAGTCAAAGTGAGAACTTGGAAAGACCTTCACTTGAAAAGGCCAAGGATCTCCACTGCATCCTGGGCCATCTCCAGGCATCCTGATCTATATCTGGCCACTGGACCCAGATGTCTCCAGAGGAGAAAGTGAGACTGGTGACTTCACATAGCTTTCCCTCACTTAAATCCAATTCACTTGCATATAATGGCATCACTTCCCTGATGTGATGGTCCTCTATCAGCAAGGTTAAACCCAACTTCCCTGTAGACTGTCAATATATATCCTATAAGATTTTATTTATCACTGTCATCATCATCATCATCATTATATAAATAATAATTACTACTAATAAGCTTATATTTGTAAGGACTTCAAAGAAGCTTAAACTTTATGCAGGAGTCGATATGGAACATTGTTGAGAAGAATGATATGACCAGATGTATGTAGAAGAATATTTACACTAGAATTAGTATGGAAGATACATAAAAGACACAGTTGGTCTCTACCTCTGCTCCATTTTCCATTCCTTCCAACATTTATTTCCTTCCACTTGAAGCACAAATCTGGGTCCCATTCTTAAAAGATTTAATGAGATCTTACTCTGTATTACTAATACTAGCTGTTCATTATTGATGTCTTCTTTACTGCTCATATCACATCTGGAATATTATTTTTTTGGAAGAACATTAACAAGCTGATGTATGTCCAAAGGAGAGCAACCAAGGTAGTAAAAGGTTTCTTGACTAGACCCATGATGAACCTGGGGCTTCTGCCTCCTTGGCACAACTTCGGCAGGCCTCTGTTCAGGGTACTTCCAAAGATAAACTAGATACTGACCATTTAGACCTCAACTCCATTAGATTTGCCACAATTCACAGCATCAGGTTGGTTAGGTCAGGCAGTAGAGGGTTGTGCCAACACAAATCATGAACCCTGAACATTCTAATCAGTTGCCTTCCTGAGAAAAACTCACTGTTATATTATCTAGACTCTCTGGAAATGGCTCAGTAGATTAGCAGATAGAGTGTTGGAGATGGAGTTAGTATGAACTGCATTAAAATCCTGCCTCAGACATTTCCTAGCTGGGTGACCCCTGGGCAAGTCATTTAAACTTTTTCAGCCTCAGAGTCCTCATTGGCAAAATGTGAATAATAATAGCATGCCCCTCAAAGGATTATTGTGAGACAGGAGTGCCAAGTTTACAATTCTGGTGTAACTATCCTTATATATACATCTTGGTGATATCACTCTACTTAAGAATGTTCAGTGACTCTTTATTGCCTCCTGAGTAAAGTTCAAATTTTCTCATGCTGTCTATCTTTTGACACTCACTAAGACCTAGCTATCACTGGATGATATTACTTCAGTTGCTACCCTTTCCAGAACTGTTTATATTATCACTCAAAATCACAACCACAATGACCCCTCTCCTAACCTACTAGCTAGGATATTCCTTGCTTCTCATTGACACCTCTAAAATCTATTGGGTAATGGCTTTTAGTTATATAAACTTAAATCAGTTCTTATTTATATTAAACATGACACCTTTATCAGAGAAACTTGCTGCAAATATTTTTCCCCATTTACTGGTTTCCCTTTTAACCTTAACTACATTAAATTTGTTTATGCAAAAACTCTTACATTTTATATAATCAAAATTCTCTATTTCTTTTTGTCTTATCCCCTCAATCACTTGTTCAGTCATGAGCTCTTCTCCAGTCTACAGATCTGAAATGTAATTTGTTCCTTGACCCCTCACCTGTTTTTATGATGTGGCCTTGTATAGTGATGTCATGTATCCATTTGGAGCTTATCTTTATATGGGATATGGTTTTAGTCTAAACTTAATCTCTGATGGACTGCTGTCCAGTTTTCCCACTTTTTTTTCACCTTTATTAGTCCTTCTCCCACTTTGAATTTACCAAAGAAAACCATTACCATGCTTTTTTGCTTCTGCATGCTCTGTCCCTAATCTGTTGTTCCACTTAAAAATCTTTTAATTTTTAGCACTTCATTTTAATTATTATTGATTTGTAGGACAGTTTGAGATCTGGTACTGATAGAACTCCTTTCTTCTGATTTTTTAAAAATTCATTTCCTTTGATAGTCATGTCCTTTTATTCTTCCATGTGAATTCCATTTTTATTTTTCTAGTTTTCTAAAATATTACTTTGGTAATTGCATTAGTAAAGTACTGAATAAATAAATTAACTTAGGCAGTATTACCATTTTTGTTATATTGACTCAAATTACCCATGAACAATTAATGTTTCTACAGTTACTTAGGTCTGTCTATTACTGCAAAGAGTATTTTATAGTTGGATTGATATAGCCCCTGGGTGCATGTTGGTAGATACACACTGAAATACTTTATAGTTTCTGCACTTGTTTTGAATGGAATTTCTCTTTCTAACTCTTCCTGTTGGCTTTAATTGGTAACTTATAGGAATGCTGATGATCTTTGTGGATTTAGTTTCTATCCTGAAACTTTGATGAATTTATTGTTTCCATTAATTTTGGGATATGATTCTTTAGGTTTTTTAAAGTAAATGATGTCATCTGCAAAAAGTTATAATTTTGTTCTTCTTTGTCTACTAATTTTTATTTCTTTATTTTTAAATTTCCTGTCTTAATGTATTAACTAGACTAGCTAATTTCAACTAGCCCCTCCCTAGAGCAAAGCAAACCTATCAAACTTCCATAATTGATGTCCTGTCCCACCCACCACAGAAGCCATCCAACTCTTTTTATCTTTCCTCAAGCCTCTCACAATACTCTTTCCCTCAACCTTTTCTTCTTAGGACCTTGACTCATATCTCACCCTTAAATTGTGGCCACTTAGAGACCTCCCTTCTCCCCACCCCAACATCCTTCTGACATTCTTCCCCAGTTTCTTCTCCTTCACTTCTAGTCACTGATGATAAGTTAGCACTACTGCTTGCCAAGGCCAACACCTCAATATACACCCTTTATCTTATTCCTTCTCATCTTTTCCAAAAGATTGCCCCCTCCACCCACTCTCCAAGTCTCCACTCTCTCAAGCCTTTCCCCATCCACTGTCCTTTCTGCCTACAAACATGCTGATTTCCTCTATTAAAAAAAGAAGCCAAGCAAAAACAAAAATAACACCTCACCAGATCCCACCATGCATGCCAACCATAGTCCCACATCTCTCCTTCCCTTCTCAGCTAAAATCCTTAAGAAATCCATCTACAATCAGTGCTTCCTCTCCCTCCCCCCCAGTCTCTTCTAAGGTCTCTGCAGCCTGGCTCCTGACCTGATCATCCAATAGAAATTTCTCTCTCTAAATTTAATAATAATCTCTTAATCTTGTCTCAGTCCTCATACTCTTTGACTTCTGCAGCCTTTGATATAGCTGATTATTCTTTTCCCTCAGAGTTTTCATGACATTGTTATCTCTTGGCTTTCCCACCTGCTCCTTCCCAGTCTTTATTGCTGTATCTTTACTCATGTCACCTCAACTAGCTGTGGGTGCCCTGCCACCAAGGTTCAATGCTGGGTCTTTGTCTCTTTTCTTTTTCCATGTTCTTACTTGGTGATCATATCCATTCCTATAGGTTCCATTATCACGTCTATGAAGATGATTACAATATTTATATATCTAAGCCTATTCTCTCTCTTAAGCACCAGTTTCAAATTGCCAACTGTCACTTGTACTTTTCATACTGTAAGTTCTGTAGACATCTCAAATTCAGCTTGTCCAAAATAAAATACCCTCTTTCTCTAAAAACCCTCCTTTCTTCTTATTTTCCATATTACTGTTAAAGGAACCACAACCCGTCCTGTTACCTAGATTTGAAATCACCATCATCTTTGACTCTTTTTTCTTGTTCATCTCACATGTCTGTGTGTGCAGGCTTGACTTGGAGACAGGAATGCATGACTTCAAATCCTGTCCTTGACACTTATCAGCTGTGTGACCTTGGGCAAGTCACTTGATATCTGTCAGTCTCATTTTCCTCATCTGTAAAATGTGAATGATAGCCTTACCTTCTGGGATAGGGTTGTTGTAGCAATCAAATGAGATAAAGTAGGTAAACGGCTTTATACCTAACGTGCTATGTAAATGTTAACTGTGACCATTATTATGTCAAACTAATTGTGAAATCTGGTCATCTCTTCTGCTACCACATCTCTTGCATGCTCCTCCTCTGTCCACTCACAAAAGCACTACCCTAGCTCAACCCCTCATCACTTCTTGCCTGATCTAAGCCTTCTATTTGGTGTCCCTGCCTTGAGTGCTTCTCCATGGCAATCCATCCCATACTCAGCTACCAAAGTGATTTTCATAAAGGACAAGTTAGATCATGTCACCTCACTGTCCAATAGACCCCACTGGTTCTTAATTACCTCCACAATCACAGATAGAGTCTTTGATTTGGCATTCAAAGTTCTTCACCATTTTCTCCCTTGCATGACTTCCCAATCCTCTTACAATCTAATGCCTTCCCCTAATTTTACAGTCTGGCCATTCTGGCCTGCTTTCTGTTGCTCCCACACAGCCAACACTCCTTCTGTCTCTGCTTCTTTTCACTGGCCATTGTCTACACCTAGAATGTTCTACTTCCCAACACCCAACTCTTGGAATGCTGGCTTACTTTAACATTCAATTTAAGTCTCACCTCCTCTAAGAGCCCTTTCCTGTTTTCCTAGTAGCTGCTAGAAACAATCCTTGTGTGGCTATCTTCCCTCTATTTTGTATTTAGTTTCTATGTTATGATCTATACGGGCTTTCTCTTTCAATTGATTTTAAATTTCCTTGAGGGCAAGGACAGTTTTTTTTTCTTTGTATCTCCAGGGCTTAACACCCTTCCTGGTACATAAGAAGCACTTAATGGGGGCAGCTAGGTGGTACAGTGGATATAGCCCTGGAGTCAGGAGGACCTGAATTCAAATCCAGCCTCAGACAGTTACTAGCTATGTGACCCTGGGCAAGTCATTTAATCCCAATTGCCTCCCCCCAAAAAATGTTAGCTGACTGGATGAATGAAACATACATATATTAATAACTTACTTTATGCACATCACTCTGCTAATCACTGAGGATACAAATAGGAAAAAAAAATAGTCTGTATTTGTAAGAAGCTCAAACTCCAGTTGGGGAAACTGACCCAAATAGGGGGTCATTAGTTGTGGGGCATATGGAGAGGTGCAGGTAGCCTGAGGTTGCATGGGGGAATCTGCCCTTCAGGGTAGAAAACATGGAAAGGAATGGCCAATCACTCCTAGGAGGGTAGGGTAGGGAAGGAAGGTGTACCTAATAGTCTGAGTGGACTTGGGATTCTGAGTTATCTCTGCCAGTGATGGGGGTTAGGATTCAATTCCAGCCAAGAAAGGAAAAGGAAAATTGGCAGAGAATTTAGGTTTGAGCTTTGTGTTGATCTGGGGCAGAGAAGGGATAGAGAAGCTTGGCATGGCATCACCTCTGGCTAAGGCCCTCCAGGCAATGCCATATGAGAATTAGTTAAAAGAATTGGGATGTATGCATTGTAAACTAGGCTGAGGGGACAAAAATGTTTGGTGGGGCTGGTTTGCTTGAGCCCAGAGGACAAAACAAGGATCCATAGCTAGAAGATACAGAGAAGAATATTGCAGTTTAATTTAGTGAGAAAAATGTCCTAATAATTAAAGTAGTGCAAAAGTGAAATGGACTGCCTGGAAAGATAGACTGTCATCCCTGGAGATCTTTAAATGGAAATTGGTCATCAATTTTCCAAGAATGGTCCAGAGGGACTACCTGTTTAGGCAGAGATTGATCCACTTGAATTCTCATGGTTGTCCTTTTTAACTCTAAAATGCTATTGTTCTGTGATTCTATGGTCATATTCTTAGCTAACTGGCCACTGAGATATGGTTTTATGTTAAAAGATCAGAAATTTAGAAGTAGAGGGGACCTTAGAGGCAATTTGGCAGAATCCTCTCAACTTGCTTATGAGGAAAGTCAGGACCAGAGAAGATGTGACTTGTCCAAGGTTAGATATAGAATAAACCCATCAATTAATCTCAAACATCCCAGTAGTACTTACTATTTAAGGGGACGGTAATATAGAAAAACCTTTGTAACCAAAAGAACCAAAACAATTACTTGTATGTTGGAAAGACAGCATGTGAAGTAGGGAATGCTTCCTGGGGTCATTTCACATCACATCATGAAGAGGAAAACCTACTCTGTGTATTCATACAGAGGAGATATACATCCCATGTTTTCTTGGTGGATACCTCAGCACCAGAAACTCATGACTCATCCCCCTAAATGTCACTCTGAGAAGTTCATCTTTTAGAACGTCAGAGAGGGAAGAAGACAGCTCAATGGAGAGGGTACTCAAATACATCATTTCTAGTACATGTTTGTTTTGTTTTTTTGGGGGGGTGCAGTTCCACTAGAACAGGAGTAGGGAACCTGTGGCCCTCTAGGTCCTCAAGTGTGGCCCTTTGACCGAATCCAAACTTCACAACTTGAGGACCTAGAGGGCCACATGTGGCCTCGGGGCTGTCAGTTCCCCAAACCTGAACTAGAAGTTCTGGATCTTAGAGTAGCTTATACCCTGAAGTGGTTTCCTATGTTTGTTCTGTGTCACTGCTATCCATAGTGAGAGGAGGCCTGAGCTTTATAAGTCTTTGTTGCAGGGTCGTTGTAGAAATAGGTACAAATGTCCAACCACACATGTTCAGCCGGAATGGACAACCAGCCACCCACTCATTTGTTATGTCTACTCCTATGCCTGACCAGCAGCTGGCACCAATGATAGATGATGTTGCATTCCAGCAGATATCTTTCTGACCCCAAAGATAATGAAAATGACAAATAATAACTTTGTAATTACCTTAACTTCAACCAAAGCAGAAGCTGAAAAATAACCAGATGAGAGCTATGGGAAACATGTGAGCCAGACTTCCCTATTAAGCATGTTTAAGTGTCCCCCACGCTGCGCAGCTCAGGAATGGTGCCAAGAGAGAGGGAAAGGCAGCCTGTACATGCACCCAACCATAAATCTTCTCGGCCCCATGCTAAACAAACAGCATTTCAGCATCTGCACACACAGCTGACGAGGAGCAGGGAAATGAAGATGCAATGAGGAATGGGGCCCTACCACAGCTCACTTCGTTTTTTTTTTAATTGCACTTTCAATCATATGAAAACCCTGTCATTAAAAACACATTTCACAAGCTCACAATCTATTTTCTCCTCTATTTGCCGTGACCAGTCCTCAAATAAAAGAAGTTGAAGAAAAGGTAAATGGAGATTCAAATAGACAAGAAGAATTCAGGGAATTGTTGGCTGGAGATACAATGTACCAAGGCTCAGCTTAAACAAGAACATGAATGCCTCAGTATCACTCTCCCTGAGACAGTGATAGATACTTACCCCCTGTCATGGTGAAACATTTCTTTGTTACCTTAAATCTAGAGATGCTTTAAACTTTGTAGACTCTATAGGTTGTCTTCCCAGCTCATTTCTCCAACTTCCTTTTATCTAGTTTCAGAAGAAAATCTCAACTGCTCAAGACTATCCCAGAGAGTGTTGGTGTGGCATAGTGGAAAGAATCCACATTTTAAAGTTATAGGACCTAAGTTCAAATCCTTACTCTGTCAGGTACTACTTGAGTGGGGTGTTTGGCAAGTCAGTTAATACGTCTGGGACTCACCTTCTTTATCTGTAAAATTGGAGTTTAGTCTTATCTAAGTTCCTTTGCATCTTTAAATATAGGTTCATATGAAGTAGATAGAAACATATGATTGAAAATAAGGAATTATCAATCTGTAAATATGGGAGGAATGTGGTAAATCAGGTCCCAAATCTGATTTGATAGAGAGCTAGTTTCATAATCAGAAGGAATGCAATTTAAGTCTTGCCTCTAATACGTACTGGTTGTGTGACACGGAGCAAATCAAGTGATCTCTTGATGTCCCATGCACTTTCTAAGAGTCTAAGTTTGTACAGAAGGTGTTCATTTCCATTTGTAGAGGGACGTTTCTCATTTGGAGTTTCCTACATCAGTGAAATAAAAAGTCCTATCCAAAAAAATAAATAAAGGACGAGAAGGCATGAGTCAGACCCACATATCTGGAAGAGTCAAGAATTATAGCTATATTCTTCTTGGTTTCCATGGCTGAAATCAAAGGGCACTAGGCCCTTACCTTTTGCAAAGGTGAAAAGGTAAAGAAAGTGAATCAGTCATGCTGAACTGTTGCTGCTTTTCATTAATCTTCCATCCCTTTTTCTACTCTTGAACCCACGAGGTCTCTACCCACCCCAAGTCTGTTTGTTTATTTGGTTTTCCTAACTTGGCCTCCTTCCCTGTTACCTATGTCTCTGAACACAATGATAATGATGATGAAAATAAAGATGGTGAAAATGATGATGTTCTCTTTCACCACATCCAAGGTAGTATTGCCATCACTCTCCATGTCCACATCAGCATCCACTGCACATCTGGAGGCTTGACAGAACAGACTAATCTCTCCACAACTATCTTTTAATGCACCATAGTTCTTCTTTCCTCATCTGGTTGACATATCCAAATATCCATGAGTGTCTCCAAAAATACCTATAGGAAAGAGGGGAAAGTCATCTGCTCAACAGGAGAGAGAAAAAAAATGTAGTCTTTACTACAACAATGGAAAAAGAAACAATGAAAGAGGAGAAAAGGAAAAAGAGGAGAAGAATATTTTAGATTTATTTAATTTATGAAGTGGTATCATATAGGATAGTGGATTTATAAATATGGAAGGGACATCATAAGTCATATAGACCAACCCAGGGGTATTCTAGGGCTTGAATGAGAGTGGATATAAAACACTTTGCAAACCTTAATGCACTATAAAATTCCAGTTGTTATTGTTGTTATCAGCCTACATTCATCATGCCTCCAGTTCTGGTGATATTTTATTCTCCATGCATTCTACCATACTCTTACTGAGTTCAAGCAATATTTATAGAGCAATACAGGAGTATGCTGGTAAATGTTTAACAACAAGCTCTCCAGGAAAAGTATGCACACACCCTTTTAAGTTTAATCTGCATCATTAAGATTTTCCTTACTCTATTCAATGAACAAAACAATAAATCAAGTCCTGACTTGTTGCAATTGTCAATTTCTGAAGTGTAAATGCTCACACTGAAAATTTAACAATTGGCTCTGAAAACTTATTAGAGCTGGTTCCACTACATCCCTAGAGCAGCCCTGCCCATTTTACAGGTGAAGAAACTGGGGCCCAGGAAGGTGAGAAAATTGTCTGAGATTACACATGTGGTAAATGTCAAAGATACTATTTGAACACATGTCTTCTGACTCCAGAGTCATACTCTTGCACATCCACTTTCTAATTTGGTCCTATGGATATCTTTATGATCTTTCTGAGTCCAAATTCAGCACATCCACAGTGCAGTAACATTCCTCTTGATCACAGGTAATATGAAAAGTTCCAGTGTACAATGAACTGGGGAGAGGAATGCCTTAAATGACAATGAACCAAAGGAAACCATTCCGAAGATGTTGCTATGACTTGGTGCAATGGATAGAACGTTGGACTTAGAGTCAGGAAGACATTAATTTGAATCATGCCTCAGATAATTAATAGCTGTATGACTCTGGGGAATTCACTTAATCTTTCTCCAACTCACTTCCCTCCACTGAAAATGAAGATAATAATAGTAACCCTAACCCTAACCCTCCTAGGTCTGTGATGAGTCACAAATGAGATAGCAAACGTAAAACATTTTGCTACCCTTAAAATGCTCTTGAAATGTTAGTTAGCATGTAAAGTGTTTTGCAAACATTCCTACAATATGTAAATGCCATGTATTATTGGACAGTGAGTCTGTTCTACTATAATAATAATAATAGAAATGGAAACCATAACCTACTTCCCAAGGTTGTTGTGAGTATCAAAACATATATAATTGTAAAGCACTTCGTACAGTGCCTGGCACAGAGTAAGCTCTATATAAAAGTTATTATTATTATTACTACAACGCATTTAGAAAGCACTTTGTGATTATTAAAACATTTCCTTCACATCTTTTTTCTAAAATGTAGGTCATGTAACTTATCCTCATCTTACATATGTTGAAGTCATAGAGATATTCTACCTTTCTTAGCCTTACTTTAAAAGTATCTTTGAATTTGGCAATGCTTTATTTCCCCATCCAGAACATGTTTGTCTGTGTTGCAAATTCTCTAAGCTTTGCTTATTTGTAATATGCTGTACTTTGCACAGATAAGTCCAGTGGTACGTGAGTTACCATATGGCCTCCTTGTTGACCTAGTGGATCACTTCCAGACTACAAGCAAGCAATTATTTGCACCATGCCTTCCTTCCTACACATGTCCCACCTCTTACATTTTGAATCCCCTTTTCTTAATCAGCAACACTGTGCAAAGCTGCTGAGCACAACACATCTTGCTTCGTTAGCACGGCTTTCCCTTTGAGCTGCCCGTTGGCAGCTCAATCTCTCTAATGCTGACTGGAAAACTGGCCGGGCTTCTGGCTAGAAGAGCAACACCTGAGTCAGGAACTGTGGAATCTGTGTTTGTGGTACTCAGCATAGCAGAAATTGTCAGCAGATGTGATCAATATCCTCTTAACCCACCTTTTAAAAAAACAAAAACCCTCCAAAATCCTCTAAAGCCTTGCAATAAGAAAATAAAGCCTTAGCTGGGATGTGAGGCATTTGGGATTGAGGGTACAGATTAGTAAACTGAGGCATGGGAAGAGACTGAATCCAAAAATTGAAGTGGTGCCATGAATAATGAAACAAACACATACAAAACCAAAACAAAACAAGATTAGAAACTGTCATCTTCACTATGAGCAGCAGAACAGCATGCCACCTTATTCTTGAAATGCAAGTCATTTCTTTTCGTTAATGTTAGGAAGCTTCTTGACAGTTGGGAAACTATCTTCTGATTTATTTATATGTGTTTATTGTTCCATATTGGCCTGTATTTAGCCTCTCAGCTGGGTAAGCGAGTCAGGATCTAGTATGCCATCATCTTCTTAATGCATGTGCATGTTCGACTGTTACAGTTCATGTTGAAAACAAAATATTCCCCAATTTAACCACCCCTATTTTGTAATTACATTTTGATTGCAAAGGCATTATCAGGGCATCCTGCAAAGCTTGCCTAATGCAAACCTAATTCTTCCTTAATGCCAATCCCAGGGGGAAATTTAACTTGAAAACAGTAAGTTTTATCTTTGAGGCTGGAGATTATTCTAAATACTTCCTTGCTGAATTTATTTGCCATGTATAAGGAAAACAGAAAGTTCATTTTCGTGTGTTGTTTTGCAGAAGAGCATGAAGCAACTCAGCAGTGAACTGTTTAGACTGGAAGTCTCGATTGGCAGCACGGAGAAAAAGAGGAGGGTGAAAATCTGCTATTGTATAAAAGTCCAATTTTAAAATACCCATTCCTTTTCTAATAGTCTCATAGCACTTTGCCAGGAACTCTCCTTGGCATTTATCTTATTCTAGTGTGCAACATCTTTATTTGTATATGTGCCCACCCTTATTTTACTACACATCACTTGAAAACAGAGCCTACACCCACAGAAGCTAATCTCCTTGAGCACAATGGAAGTTTAAAATTCTGTCTTTTTATTGACAGGGTCTAGTACAATGTCTTTCTTGTGCTCTCAAATGAACTTTTTAGGACAAATTCAGTGGGGGTGGGGAGAAAAGGATGAGAATTTGAAGGGAGGGTGAGAATTTGAAGAGGGGGTGAGGGAGAGCACCAAGATATCAAGACAAAAGTTCCTGTGGGTTTGAAAAAAGGCTGAATTCAGTGATACTTTTAAAGGCTTGCAAAGAAATGGAATATTTCTGTGACCATTCCATCTGTAAGACAGAGATAATAAAAGTTGTACTACCTATGTAGTAGGCAGTGATTTGAAGGAAATAATTTATTAATGCTTTGTTGGGTCTTGGGAGATTTTCAGTCATGTCATAGATTTATGCCCCAATAGAAACACCAAGTATACTACATTCAGAAAGGCCAGAATTGATAAAAGGAGCCTTACTGAAGTAGAATGAGGAGTGGATTGAAAGACAGCTGTAGAGATTGAGGTATTCTCCTAAATATTCTATATCTGTGATAGATGCTAATATAGGCAAGAGCTGCACTGCCTGAATTCTGGGGAGAGAGGACTACAACACAATCATTATAATCATTGGAGAGATGCTGGAACACTGCCCTTCCTATTAGTGGGTGAGAACCTGGCAGAACAGCCTTGGTGGAAGATACTTCATGACAACAAAAGGTCACTAAAGGTAGCGGCACAGTGGGACTACACTGAAGAGGGCCTCACCCTGGATGTAGGTGGCAGGGAAGGACAATATCTGGTAGCTTCCTATTTTAATGAATTATTCTTGCTTCATTCATTCAAATCTGTTCTATGCTTAGTTGTTTCTGCATAACAAAGTGGTACAAGTGCTAGCAGTTGACTTTAAATAGCGTTGTCCCCTGGAGGGAAAAGGTCTGGTCTCCCTATTCACATGAATATCCTCTATGAGTAGGCTCGTCCAACAGACGGCTTGCCGTAGCAGTATGGTAGGGGAAATGGCTACAGCATTTACCAGTAAGAATGACAGGGGACTTGGGACTGATGCTTTTATTTCCAATAGCGGAGAATTTTTAGTGACCTGTATAGATGTTTTTCTTTCTGCCATTGCTAGGTAACTGATACACATATTCAGATTACAGTCTGGTCTTCCTTCTAGAAGAGAATGTAGAAGGCCTGGTGGAATGTTTCCCCATTCTTTCAGTTATAAAATAGAAGGAAGCATTCCTTCAGGGGCAGAAATTAAAGTGACAGTGAAGGTAATTATAAAGGGGAGAAGCAGATCTAAAGAAGCGAAGGAATCTTTGATTGTGTTCTGATGTTAGAAGATAGAAAAGGTGAGAAAAGTAATCAAGGCCAATGAAGACTCAAAGCTATGCAGAAAAGGTAGGAATAGTATGAAGCTTTTCCCAAAGAGTGTGTGTGTGTGTGTGTGTGTGTGTGTGTGTGTGTGTTTGTGTGTGTGTGTGTGTGTGTGTGTGTGTGTGCGTGTGTGTTTGCTCAGGCACGCACAGGTGGGTGTTTTGGGAAAAGCAAGTTGTTGAACTCAAAAGTGAGAAGCTGCTTTAGCTCTAAGGTTGATATGGATAATTGTGTGCCATTAGGTTAACATTCAATCAACAGTAACTAAAGGAAAAGGGGAGGAGGAATGGTGTTTGGTAACCTTTTGTTTAGGAGAACCAAAGTGTTCTTTTTCTACCTAGCATTACCAATGAATTTAAGACATGATTGAGAATATCCTAGGATGTATCAAACCTGATGACTATTAACCACTTCTGGCAATTCATATATTGATAAATAATACCAGCATGGCAAAACTATGAAGTATTATTAGGGATTGTAAATAAAGTCTGGTGAAATAAATTGAAAACCCCAGAAACTCAGGTATTCATAGACACAAACTTCAAAGTTGAGAGGCAAGCTCAGAAGTCAGTTATTCTACTTCAGGGTGCGGAATCTGCAGCCTTAAGGCTACTTGTGGCCTTCTAGGTCCTCAAGTACAACCCTTTGACTGAATCCAAACTTCACAGAACAAATCCCTTTAACAAAAGAATTCGTTCTATAAAACTTGGACTCAGTCAAAAGGCTAGGCCCAAGGACCTAGAAGGCCACATGTGGCCTCAAGGCCACAGGTTCCCCACCTGGTCTACTTCATACTCCATCATCAGGCCTCTGCTTGAAGACCTCCAATGAGGGTGCTCCCCTACCTCCTCCACTTCCCAATGCAGCCATTCCCTTTTTGAATGGCTCTAATTGATCAAAAGTTTTTCCTGGTATCAAGTCTACATTTGTTCTTTGTAACTTGTCATATTTCCTGGTTCTTCCCAATGTGGCCACATAAAATAAATTTAATCACTTTTCTACACGATAAACCTTCAAACACACGAAGTAAAATATCATGTCCCTCTGATTCTTCTCTTCTCCAATGCTAAGCGTCACCACTTTCTTCAATCAATCTCCACATTGTAGAAAAATAAGCCACTTCACCACACAGTTTGCCATCTGGATGCTTTCCAGAATATATATATATATATATATATATATATATATATATATAATATTATATATATATATATATATATATATATATATATATAATATATATATATATGCTTTGTAAACTGTGGTCAACTCTACAGATACAGTCAGAACTCAGTACTAGTGTTATTGTCTGATGTGAGTAGAGTATCTATACCTCTCTTACTGTCATATTTTCTTAACGGTTGTCATGAAGAAAGGGTTTCTGTAATGGTTTGATAGTTGAATAGGTACTTAAGAAAACTTTCTGATAAATGATGAAACTTAGATTTCTGGCCCATAGCCTAAAATATAGTAATGATGGTCTCTTGGTCCTAGATGGAGTGCAACCAATGAAGTCTGGTGGTATATATGTGTATATACTTGCCTGGAATCTTGAACTCTAATGAAAAAGTCTTTGAATAAGGATTGTAAATTGAAAAGTGAGGGAAAAGATGTCCCACTACAGATCTAACAAACTGGGTACCATACGGAGTAGCCCCAACTTAGAAAAAATGAATATGAGTAGATATATTCAGTAAAGAGACAAAAATCCATGAAAACTATCAAAAGAGCAAATCTTTTGGTTCAGAAATCTGTATATAAATGTACAAAGTATTGCTAACAAGTAAGAACTACAGATTCTGATAGAAATAGGCAAATTTGATCTCATAGACAGAATTCAGACATTGTAGAATAGAACTCCTGAGTGCAATACAGCTCTGGAGGTATTCATATAAATTCATATATTATTCATATGAAACATAATAGATTAAAATGTGGTTCGAGAAGCATGCATTTTAACAAGTCACAGTCAAAACAATAACAATAATATCTGGCATTTATATGGCACTTTCAAATTTGAGAAGTTCTAATACGTATATTATCTCAATATAAATGTCCTTATTTCCTAGTGACTGAAAGAGAACCCATGATGCCCTTTATTACCTGACATCTCTGCAGGATGGGAGCCACCCTGCAGGTCCTACATCTCCTACTTCTTCTTCTTCTAAAGCTGGCATTGTAGTATTTCCCAGTGTCTAAATGAAAACCTTATTCTACTATTACTCCCCAGTTTTTCATACCTATCAATCTCATTCCTAACTCCCCAAATTTCTATTTAATACAAATCTCCGTTTTATCATCAACAAGCTTTACTTCGTCTTGGACCTTTTTTTACCCTTTCTTACTCTTCTAATCTTCTGGCACTCATGGAGACCTAATTCTCTCCAGAACATGCTACATCCTGGTCCATTCTCATCAGTACTGTATGTATGAAACAATAGACCAGAAGGATGAATAGGCTTACTCCAAACCCTACTTCTACCTCAGAACCTCTCACTGCTGCTATCATTTATCATGCTCTACTCCTTTAAATTTTCATCCAACCAGCTATATCACTCTATTCACATGGTGGTGGCAGTTATCTATTGAACTCCAGGTCATTTTACCAAAGGGCTTCAGCACCTTAATGGATTTGTTTCAATCCCAATTCCTGCTCCAATCCCAATCCGCAGTTATATGGAGGCTTCAGAATACATGCTGATGTCCTTCCAACCTCCCAGCTCATCAACCTCCTCATTTCCTGTGACCAACACTTTTATTCTACTTTAGCTGTGGACAGGCAGGGTCATAGCCTTGATCTTACCACCACTTTTTTGATTGAGATGACTTACAATCCTTTATCTGACCATAACCTCTTATTCTTTTTAAAATTATTGTTTTTAAGACAAATCAATTTTCTCTCCTTCCTACCCTCAACCACATTGGAAGAGAAAAAAAAAATTCTCATAATGAATATGCACAGTCAAGCAAAACAAATTCCCTCATTGTCCATGTTTTAAAAGAAAAAAGTATATCTCATTTTGTACCCTAATTCCATCACCACTCTGTCAGGTGGATAATATGCTTTATAATCAGTAGAATTCTTGTGGCTTTAAAAGTTGTTTGCTTTTATAGTGTTGTTGTTCTCCCGTTTCTACTAATTTTGGTTTTTGTCAGTTTATACAAGTCTTCAAAATTGTTCATTTTCATGATGTTGGAATTATAAATTATTCTTCTGGTTCTGCTTTCACCCTGCATCAGTTCATATAAGTCAATCCACGTCTCTTTGAAATAATCTTTTCCCCCATGTTTTATAACAATAGTATTCTATCACATTAGTATACCACAATTTCTTCAGCCCCTCCCCAATTGTCCCTCAGTTTCCTTTTTTGCCACCACAAAAAGAACAACTATAAATATTGCTTTATTGTTGTGGGTTTTTTTTTCACATGGTGCAACTTTTCATTTTTCTTTTAGGTATAAGCCTAGCAATAGTATAGCTATGTCAAAGGGCATTCACTGCTAAGTCCTATTTATTGCTTTCTAGGATGGTTGGATTCATTCATAGCTCTACCAATGGCATGTCAACGTGCCTCTTTTCCCACAGCATTTTCAACATTCTATGTTCTTTCTTTTCTTCTTTTTTTTTCCCTTTTTTGGTCTTCTTTGCCAGTCTAATGAGTGTGAGGTAGAACCCAAGGTTTATATAATTTGAATTTCTCTAATTATTAGTGATTGGGAGAATTTTTTTAAGATGATTCCATATAGACTGTTCTCTTCCATTGAGGATAGCCTATTGATATTCTTACACCATTTATGAAGTGGAGAATGACTCATATTCTTATTAATTTGAATCACTTCTTTAAATAACTTTGAAATAAGATCTTTCTCAGAGAAAGTTGCTACAAAAATTGTTTTACCTAGTAAATTATTTCTCTTTTTAATCTTGGATTTATAGGATTTGTTAGAACACAAACTTCAAAAAATTTATGCAATCAATTATCCATTTTCTCTTCTGTATTTTTTTTCCATCTCTCATTTGGGTACAAACTTTTCTTCTATCCATCAATTTGATGGATGATCTTTTTCCTTGTTACTCTTATTTGTGATGTGACTTTTTGAGATATCTAGGTTATGTATCCACTTGGAGTTTATCTTGTTATAAGTTTGGGGTGTTGTTCTAAATCTTTTTTCCCATGCTGCTGTCCAATTTTTCCCAGGAGATTTTATCAAACAGTGAGTACATATCTCAATAATTGGGGTCCTACTGTTTATTGAATGCTAGGCTACTTAGAAAGTTCATTGACTTTTGACAATTACCTCTTATTTAACCATCTCTTTGTATGCATCAGCCATCCTAAACATATTTGCCATGCTCATTGTGACCTCCAGTCCTTCCATCCCTCATTGTTCTTCCAGGACATCACCCTCTGAAGAAATAGAATAAATAAGATATAGTGACTAATTTTGGTATTGAGGGGGTGAGAGTGCAGAGAAACAATGAATGACAATAAGTAACCCAAAATGACTATTAAGTGGCAAATGTGGGTTAATAAAAAAAAAATGGTCATATTTTTTACAGAAATTAGGAAGTTATGGGGGTGAATAGTATGTTTGGTTTTAGATATGTTGAGTTTAGCTGCCTACAGGGAAACCAGCAGGTAATTGGAGATGTAAAATTCAATCAAATGAAGGATGGTTATATAGATTAGGAAATGATCTGCATAGAGATGATAGAGATTCATGGTAGGAGACTAGATTACCACTGAATCATTATTGATTAGAGAAATGCAAATCAAAACAACCCTGAGATATAATTTTACACCTACCAGATTGGCTAAAATGATAGAAGAGGAAAGTGACAAATGTTGGAGGAGGTGGAAAAATTGGGTCACTAATTCATTGTTGGTGGAATTGTGAACTGATCCAATTATTTTGGAGAGCCATCTGGAATTATCCCCAAAGAGTTATTAAACTTCCCAAACCCTTTGATCCAGCAATACCACCACTTGCTCTATTTCCAAAGATAATTAGGGAAAAAGGAAAAGAACTTATGTGTTCTAAAATGTTTATAGTTGCTCTCTTTGTATTGGCAAAGAACTGGAAACTGCAGGAATGACCATCAGTTGGGGAATGACTGAACAAGTTATGGTATATGATTGTGATGAAATACTACTGCGCTATAATGAATAATAAACTCAATGATTTTAGGGAAAAAATTAAAAGATTTGCACAAAATAACGAAGAGCAAAAATGAACAGAACCAAGAGAACATTGTAAACAGTAATGGCAATATTGCTTTAAGAAGAACTTTGAGTGAATAAGTTATTCTATTATAAATACCTGAATTAACTATAAAGGATGTATGATGAAGAAAGACACTATCTATATTCAGAGAAAAAAATTGATAAATAGAAGTATATATAGAATAATTTTACTATATACGTATACATATATATGTGTGTGTGTGTGTGTGTATATATATATATATATATATATATATATATATATATATATATAATATATATATATATATATACATACACATGTCTATCTGTGTCTAATGGTATCCATCTCTGGTGGGGGGGAGAAAGAAAAAAAGAAATTTACATGATAATTTTTTTGCATATTTGAAAGGAATAGCAAGTTGTACATAGTAAATTTGCATTTTCATGTTCAATCATCTTTTCTATTGTACATTATAGAAATACTTGTTTTATTCTATAAATTAAAAATAAAATTTAAAAAAGATTACCAAGAGAGAAAATATATATAAAGAGAAAATAGGAAGAAACTCAACACAGAATATTGGAATATACACTTGCATAGGGGAAAGGATATGGTCAGTAAACCTTCAAAGGAGAATGAAAAGAATTATTCAGACAGGTAAGAAAAGACATGAAAGGAATAATATGAAAACTCAGGAAGGAGAGAGGGGACAACAACATGAAACACTGCAGAAAAGTCAAGAAAAATGAGAATGTTTGCATTTCATATTACATTTCATAATACATTTCAAATTACCTTGATGTCACCCTCATTTTCTGCTCTACAGCTCCAGTCTCTGGAGACTCTTGCCAAGACCAATCCCTCTAATTGTGACAATCTTCTTCTGTCTTACAGAATCACATATTTGAGTGCTGGAAGGGAGCTTGGTAGTTAATCTAGTCCAATCTATACATGAAAAGAATCCCCACTATGAGATCTCTGTCTACCCTTTGTTTGAAGACCTCCAAGGAGGGGAAAACACACCTCCTCTTGAGGCCAGAAATCACACTTTTAAACAGATCTTATTGTTATATATAATTGTCTGCCAACTTGCCCCTCAATCATTCCCTTTCTCTTCTCAAATAGTCTATCCCTATCTACTGACATCATCTAAGTAGGCTATAAGCATGCTTAAATGTTCACCCAATAAAAAGTTCACTGAACCATACCATCCATTCAAGCTCTTATCCTATAGTTCTCCCTTAAATCACAATACTTACAGAAAAAGCCAAGTACACAATAATGTCCACTTCCTCTCCTTTCAGCTATATTTCAAATGACTGCAATCTGACTTCTAAACTGATCTGGCAATTGCAACTGTTTCTTCTAAATTTATTATTAGATCCAATGACCTTTCCTTAGTCTTCATTCTTCCTGACTCTCTGAAGCATATGAAATGGTTGATAAATCTCTCCTGAGTCCTCTCTTCTCTATATATTTTCATGGCTGTGTCTTTTCGTAGGTCCATTGCCCTCTCTGGCTACTTCTTTTCAGCCTTATTTGCTGAATCATCAATATCCTGCCTCTAACTTTGGGTGTCCAACAAGGCTGTGTCTTAGGACTTCCTCTTTTTTCTTTCTACATTTTCTCTACTGATAAGTTCATTAGCTTCCATGAAATCAAATATCATCCTTGTGCAAATGCTTCTCAGATTCCTATAACCATCCGTATTTTCTTGTCTTTGGAGAATTCCAATTAGATGTGAATAATTGAAACTCAATATGTTCAAAATAATATTCATTATCCTTCCACCCAAAACCACTCCCTTTTTTTTAACCTTCCTTATTTCTTTTGAGGGCACTACCATCATTCCAGTCATCTAGGACGATGTACTCAAAATCATCCCTGACTCTATCATCACACTCACCTCCCATATCCAGTCAGTCGTCAAATCTTGTCAGCTTTCCATTTTCAACATCTCTCATATATATCCTGTTTTCTACATTCACAAAGTCAATATACTAGTATAAGGCTTTATTACCACTCACCTGAACTATATATTTGTAATTGATCTTCATGGCTCAATTCTCCATATAATTGTCAAATAGATATTAAAGCACTGGCTAGATCATGCCATTGCTGCTCAAGAATTCCTTGTCCCCTTTGCCTCCAGGATAAAAGAATATTCCTCTGTCTGACATTTGAACCCTTCATAATTGGGCTCCATTCTACCTTTTCTAGATATGTTTTAAGTTAATCTCCATATATACTAAATTTCAGTTCAACTGTCCTACCCACCATTCCCCATACATGCATTCCATGTCTTATAACTATGTCTTTCCACAATCTTCACTTCTGCCTGAAAGGTACTTTCCTAATTTCCAACTATTAGAACCTGTATCTTCTATCAAAGCTCAGTTCAAGTACCATCTCCTTCATGAGGTCTTTCCTCATTGCTACACATTTTTAGTCAACCCTCCTCCCCCATGGCAGCAGAAATAACAAAACTTTATAATTTCTCTGTATGTATTTCATATTTACTTATCTTTTCACCTTCAATAAAATGTAAGGTCTTTGAGGGTGGGGGCTACTTAATTTTTGTGTTTGTATGTACTGTATCTAACAAAGGGTATTTAATAAATGATTTTTTTGAATGGGTGAATAACTGATTTTATGCATGGAAGAAGGAGAACTGTTATTCTGGACCTGATTCTTACCAATGATGAGGAATTGTTTGCCAAAGAAGAACAATGGAAAGTATAAGAAAATAACCTTTCCATTTTAGAATTCTTGTTAGAGAGGTAAAGGAAACTTCAAATAGTCTAACATGTCCTAGATTTGGAAAGTGTCTATTTCAAAATTTTTAAGGAAGGTAGAGTTTTCTGACCCAAAATTCCATGACAGATGTTAGCCCAGGAAGGGTAGGAAATTCTTAATAACAAAATTCTAAAGACAGAATATAAACAACTTTGGTGATGTAGATGTGGGATGGATTGGGAAAGAGAGCCATTTAAAGAGACTAATGTAAATACACAAGGAAGTCATTGATCTATTTAGATTTTACAAAAGCATCTATTAGAAGATTCAACCAGATACACCTAACCAGATGAATACAAGAATGTGGCACAAATAGGCTTGGAAGAACATGATTAAAACTACTTATGTTCAGAATGAGTTGAGGGTAGTAATTATTTCTAAGAACAATAAATGGTTGATTTTTTTTCTATGTTGGTCAAAAAGAATAATGACAGAATGGGCTGATGTTCTCTGCTTGAGGTCAATGAGATGATAATAATGAATATAATGAGAAGGCAGACCTCTTTAATTTTTATTTCAGATCTGTTTTTCTCTGACAAGACTGGAAATGACAGAACAAACACTTATTCATACATAGTTGAAATTCAAGATAAATAGGACTTAGTATGGAAGCACTTAGCTGCCCTTCAAGTCCCAGCCAGACTCAGGTGAACTATATCTCATAATACTCAATTTAAAAAAAAAATTTTTCAGGGGTAATGACTGAGTCAGTGTCAGAATTCTTTAAAAGACTGTGTAAAGCGGACAAGGTAGTATAGACAGGGAAAAGGGCAAGTGTCTGGATTAAAAAATAAAAAAGGAAGAGAGTGAAGTCTGTACTGTATATAAGTGAATTAGACTTTCATTTCTGGCAGAATTCTTATAACAGAACATATACTACCAAAGGGATTATTAGGAAATATGAAGAAATGAAGTGGTGATCACAAAGAGCCACTTAATTAAGAATAGGTCAGGCCAGACTAATCTCATTCCTCCCCCCCCTTTTTTTTTTAACAACTGGGTAGGTTAGGGGAATGCCATATATATATAATGACCTAGATCTCAGCAAGTGTTTGACAAAGTCACTCATACTATTCTTATAGATAAAATGGAGAGATACTAGTGAGACAATTGTACAGTTAAGTGGGTCCACAACTGATTGAACAGCTGGATCCAAAATGTGTTACTGGTAGATTAGATGACAATCTAGAAGAATATGGGAGTCAAGCTGTTGTATTTCATGCATATATTTTGTGCAATTGTACTTTATGGAATCAAAGTTGTCAATCAAAGATAAATGAATAATTGTGATTACAACATTGAAAAGTTTTGCACAAACAAAATAAATGATGTTAAGATTAGAAGGGAAACAGTTGATGGAAAAAAAAAATCTTTGCAGCTAATTTCTCTAATAAAGTCTGATATC